GAGTTCGGGGGGTTGGGGTTCCAACCGTAAATATGTTCAAACATTTTTTTATAATTAAGGCTGGGGGTAGGGGGGAGAGAGGGTGGTACCACTTCGGTCCTCGGTCGTCCAGCAAAGAGAATAGGAATTTATTCTCTCCTGGGCCGTCATCCATCAAAGGGTGGAAAGAAAATTTCTTCTTTGTGGATGACACCGAGTGGAGTAGGAGGGATGCCGAAGTGGAACAGTTGTCTGCTTGGAAAGCGAAGAAAACCAAGCAGAACAACTATAAATTAAATGAGGATGAGGCGGAAGAGGTGGAGAAGCTGGTGAGGGAGGACGGAGACGTGGTGGACATCCTATACCTCACCAGTGCGCAGGCAATAGAGGCTGCTGAGCTCTATGGGCCAAGCTCATTGAGCGAAGGTCTGTATATGTTTACATTGTGCTATGTTAGTTAGATCTTGCTTTATGCGTTTTGACCTTTGTGCTTGTTTTGCAGCTGAAATGGAGGAGTTTACCACTGCTGCTGGAGGCTTGCGCATCCCTAAAAAGCCAAGGAAGAAGTCAAAGACTTCAACTGCGGCTGAGAAGGAGGTGACAGGGGGGGCGACTGTCCAGCATCTCTGCCCAGGCTGTGGAGGTGCAACCAAGGCCGGAGGCTACAATGGGGGGCAGTGAAGAGGTGAGTGAGGAGATGGCACCTCTCCAGAAGAAGAGGAGGGTGGCAGAACTAGGAACTAGGGGGGACGAGGTGGTGGAGTTCGTGCCCCAGCCTTCTTCTCCAGAAATTCATCCTGAACACGGGGAGAGAGGAGAAGTCGGAGTGCGAGGCCTTGATGGGGGCAGGGAGCGCACCTCTCCACACGTATACCAGAGAAGTCTGTTTGAGGCAACAAACAGGACTGGGGCAAAGCACTTCCTCAATGCCACCCTTCTTGAGGTAGATAGGATTCGTGCGAAGGACGAGGCGATTAGCCATGCAGGGTATATCGTTGTGAGGCATGCCCTGGAGGTATGCGAAATAACTAGATTTTATTCCAGTTGTATGTTTGGGTTGTTTGTCCTGTGCCTGATGTCTGATTTCTGATTGCATTGTAGAGTGCGAGCTGGACAAACGCTCTAGCGCAAGAGTATGCAGAGAGCGTTAGAGATCGTGCCAGCTTGCAAAGGCAGTGCGACCAGCTTCAGAGGGAGAAAGATGAGCTGCAGAAGGAGAAGGTGGAGTGGGAGAAGCAGAAGAGAGAGATGCAGAGGAGGCTGGATGAAGTTCTCCCTTCAGTGACCGAGCTGCAGCACGAGAATGATGTCCTGAGCACGAAGCTCGGCCTCGAAGAACGTAAAAGGAAGAACTGCGAGGAGAAGCTCGAGGCTCAGGACAAATATATGGACAAGATGAGGAAAGCAGCTGTGGAGCTGAAGAAGAACGTGAACATGCTGGTTCACAATGGGATGGAGGAGCATATTGGCAACTTCCTCAACTCCAGCACCTTCAAAGACATCCTCAAGCTCTACCGGCTGCCAACTGCAATCGTGGCCTTCACCGACTGTAGAAAGAAAGTGAAGGCCCAGTACCCAGAGGTGGACGTGACAACAGTCACCTTTGGGGAACAAGAAGAAGGAGTGGAAGAAGATGGGGAGAGCCTCTGTGCTGACTTCCTACCTCAGATCACGCTGAAGTGGGAGCGTGATGCAGAGGGGCGCACTATTTTTCCTCCAGCCTTTGACGCTGAGTTGGTGGCCATGGAGGGAGAAGAAGAAGAAGAAGAAGAAGCGTCAGGCGCCGGAGTTGGGGATCAGGCAGCTCCAGCCGAAGTGCAGCCTCCTGAAGTGCATCCAGTCTCGTCTGACGAAGTGCAGACGCTGGCCCCTGGTGAAGCAGAAGTGCCACCCCTCCCTGCTGGAGACGAGCCTATATCACCACCTCTTCTTGCTGAGGAGCAGCCTCCTCCACCAGCAGAGTAGTTTAGGTTTTTTAAATTTTTAGTCATATTTGTAAATAACATTGTTGAGTTTATAATTTTTAAAGTTTATTCTTGGTCTTCAGTTTTGATTTTGAATTGCTGGTTTAGGTTAAGTGAATGACTTCGGAAAAGAGTAACTTTATTTAACACAAGGTTCTGACCTCGGGCAAAGGAACTGACTTTGGATTTAGAAGAGGCGGACTTCGAGTATATAAATGAGAAAAGATAAAACAAATCACTTCACAAGTAAGAGTAATAAAATCACAACCCAATCAAATGAAGTGACTGAATAATTCACGGTGAAAGGGCTGAATCACTTCGAATGTGAAGTGAAGTTTATTAATTGAGTTCGGACACAAATAGAATAAATATAAAAATGAGACAAAGTTTACTGGAAAGAGAC